CCCCAATTGGTTTCTTCTACTCTCCCACGTCGGCTAGAGAAACAAGTACCTGGAGGGCTGCCTTTCTTGTCAGGAGGCCCGGTGAACAGCTGGGGGCATGCAGAGACGAAAGAGAGCACTCAGGGACCTGGATCGTGTGCTCTAGAAAGTCTGTGTTTCCCTCTCTTTCTGCACTCCCCTCCCAAACCACGTTATAAACCAGTTTAGCACGTTTGCTGTTTGCTCTGGCTCTTGTGAAGGAGGTCTTTTTGTTTGTTCTGCCGGGTGGACCTGCTCATTCCTCTTGCCTCTTCTCACATAGAAAGCATCTTCTTGGAAGCCCTGGCCCTTGAGGGGGCTTTGAGGCCCGAGACTCCTGCTGCAACCTTCTCCCAGGGTGAGGCAGATGGAGAGCATGCATGCCAGTACTTGGCCTGAGGTCACACAGGCCTGTACTGCCCGGGACCCTTCCTCCTCTTTCTCCTCCCAGCACCAGGTGCCACATTCCCCACATTATGGGAGCACACTCTCCACCCCGGGCATTCTTTCCTTAAGGGCTTTGCCCAAGCAACCCTTTACTCTGTAGCCCAAGCCACAGAGCCCATTTGTAAAAAAAATGTCCTTTCCTTCCTATTCTAGCTCCAAACCTGATGCAAATTTGCCTCGGACACTCTCCCCGATTTTGCACCCAGCATCCTCTATCTAGCAGCTTAGAGCTTAGCTCACCGGGAACGCACAATTTTTCCTAAACCTCACCGATCTTCCAAATTCCCTCTCTCCAATGCTATTACTGGTCCTGTTCAAAGTTTTATTACCTTTGCCCAGTAAAACAAAAAACAAAAAACAAAAATTTACTCCCTTTTGGGGGTAAGATACTTGGTGTCAGTCATTCTGGCTGAGACACTTATTAGCTGTGTTATTTGAAGGAAGTTATGTCACCTCTCTGAACCTCAGCTTCCTATCTGGCAAATAAAGACTACGCTATCAAGCTTTGCCGGCTTCCCAGGAGTGAGAACAAAGCGGGATGCGCCTAGAGGATGCCTAGCACAGCGCTCAGCATGTAGGAGGCTGTAGATGTCAGGAGCCACAGAAAAGATGAGGTTTTATAGCTTTCCCAAGACCAGAGTGGCTCCTGCCTGTACCTGTCATGTTAGAGCAGCTCTGACCACTTGTTAGACTTCAGACTCCGCCTCGACGCCCTTCTGAGATGTCCCTGCCCTCAAAGACACTATTACTCATTCAGCCACAGTGGGAGCCAGGATTTCCTGTCCTTGCCCTGTGGAAAGTGCTCAGTAAGTAGCAGTGGCCAAACCAAACAGAGTCCTGTCCCCATTTGCAGCCTCTTCTCAGCTCCCCAGTATATCACCTTCCTTTTTTCCTTTGAGCCACTTAGGTTGCCGTAAATCGCCTGTGCTCTTTGAACCAACGAGACACTTATCCCTTCGGCTTGTTGCGGATGGGGATCGCCTGCCGCCCCGGTGGAAGCCATACAGCCAGAAGGCATCCTGCCATGCTGGAGAGGGCCTGGGCTTTTCCGTCAGCTTATGGAGAGAGAGGGTAGCACAACTAGGAGCTTGGCCTCTGAAGCTAGAGGACATGGATTCAAATCCCACACCTGCCCTTTTCTAGCTGTGTGACCTCAGGCCAAGTACTCAGCTTCTCTTTAGCTGGTGTCCCCCAGCTATTTCATGGTGAGATCATCATAATAACACGACCTATTTCCTGACACCGTATCGAGGACTAAATGAGTACCTGGTGCACCATGGATACTCAAATGTTAGTTACTATGATGCTGTTCAAGTTTGGGCTTTGCCACTTGCTAGATGGGTGACCCCTCTGAGCCTCAGCTTCCCTGGCTATAAAATGGGGATCCTATTATACCTTGTGTCATACAATTGGTCATTTGAGCTGGGGTGTCCTATCCCATGCTGCAAGTTTTCCCTCTGTCTGAGGTGTGTATGTGTGTGGGGTCAGGTGGCAGGGGTAGAAATGGGCATGAAGTGGCTCCACGTATCTGAAAGCCTAGTGTCTAAGCAGACCTGCTGAGCTGGTCTAACAGGCACTGGGAGCCCAGTGTGTCCCCCTCCCTCAGAGTACAAAAGGAGAGGCATGGTGTGGGTACACCTCCATTGCCTCTGCCAACCGCTGCAACCTGGAACTTTCACCTCCTTCCCTTATGGAGTTACTAGCTCTGGGCTGACACTTCGGCAAGCCATCATTTCCTCTCTCCCAGCTTCAGCCCCGTTTCTCTACTGTCTACTTGCAGAACCCTCTTTCAGCAAGCGTTTCAAGCTAAGCCAAAATCTCCCCTGGTTTTAGGAGAAAATAACTCACACAAGATGATTACTATCCAGTAGTCACTGTTCTAAGGGCTTTACACATGTTTCATCATTTAATCCTCACAACCAACTTATGAAGTAGGTACTATTACCTGCGTGTTTTTTTTGAGATGGGAAAGCTTGGGGATTTGAACACAGGCGGTCTGGTTCCCGCATCAGTGCCCTCTAGCCATTATTTTATATTTCCTCTCCTCTTTGCTTCAACATTTTGTTATAAATCTTTTCAAGCATACAGAAAAGTTGAACAAGTTTATACAATTACCCATATATCCACCACTTAGATTTGACAATTAATATTTTACTAAAACTGCCTTATCCCATACCTGTTCACTCCTCAATCCGTCCACCAATCTGTCTTACCTTCTTCATGTATTTTAAAGTAAGTGACAACTTTATCCCCAGAAATTTGAAAACGTAAAGGAAATAGAAAGATTTCTTGACTCAAGAAGAAATAGGTGACCGAAATGACTTATATCTAGTAAAGACATGGGATGTGTAGCTTAAAATCTTTCCACAAAGAAAACTCCAGGTCCCGATGCCTTCAATGATAAATTCTACTAAACACTTAAGGAAGAAATAATACCAATTGAATGCAAACTCTTCTTGAAGATGGAAGAGGAGGGGCCACCTCCCAACGTATTTGGTAAGGCCAGCACCTTGACATGAAAACCAGACAAGGACAATACAAGAAAACTACAGACTAAAATCCCCGATTAATCGGGCGCCTGGGTGGCTCAGTTGGTTAAGCGACTGCCTTCGGCTCAGGTCATGATCCCAGGGTCCTGGGATCGAGTCCCGCATCGGGCTCCCTGCTCTGCGGGGAGCCTGCTTCTCCCTCTCCCACTCCCCCTGCTTGTGTTCCCTCTCTCGCTGTGTCTCTCTCTGTCAAATAAATAAATAAAATCTTTTAAAAAAAAATAAATAAAATAAAATCCCCGATTAACATAAACACAAAAATCCTTAACAAAATATTCGCAAATCAAATCTAGTAACATAGAAAAGGGATACTATGTCATGACCAAGTAGGATTTAATCTGGCAATGCTAGTCTAGTTCTTATTTCAAAAATCAATCAATTATAATTCACCATATCAATAGAGTAAAAGAGAAAACTATAGGATCATTTCAGTAGCTATAGACAAAGCACTTTAGAAAATCCAGCATCCACTCCTGATAAAAGTTCTCAGCAAACTAGGAATGAAAAGGAACTTCCTCAATCTGCCAAAGGGCATCTACGAAAAACCTACAGATCACATCAAGTTTACTAGAGCAAGATTAGGAACAAAGCAACACTGGCCACACTTACCACTTCTACGAAACATTGTATCGGAGGCCCTAGATGGCGCAGTAAGGCCCCCCTCCCCTAGAAAAGGCATACACAATGGAAAGGAAGGTAAAAACCAATTTCATTTGCAGATGACATGATTGTCTATGTAGAAAATCTTTTAAAGTCTACCACAAAGCTACCAGAACTAATAAGTGAGTTCCGCAAGGTTGCAGGATACAAGGCCACACACAGAATTAAATTGTTATTTCCATATAGTATTAAAATGAATTTGAACTTGATATTAACAATACTATTTACAATAGCATCAAAAACATGAAATCCTAAGGATAAATAACAAAATACATGCAACATTTGTATGCTGAAAACCGTAAGTTGTGTACCTCAATATAGCTCAAAAACGTCAGCATACGTGTTATTAAATGAAGTTTGATATTTGTTTCTAATGTTTTTAGGCAAAATTTACCTCCAGTGAAATGCGCAAATATTCAGTGTACATTTGTTGAGGTTTCATGAATGCATACACCTGTGTAACTCAAACGCTTACCAAGATACAGATCATTATCAGCATCTGACAATGTTCCCTCATGCCTTTTCCCCTCAATCTCTGTGGCACCTTCTGTAGGTAACCACTGTTTTGAACTTGTTTCCCACTGAAGAGCTGTTCTAGAATGTTACATAAAAGGAATAGTATATACTCTTTTGGGTAAGGCTTCTTTCACCCCTAAGGTTCCTTTTTTTTTTCAAAGAATGTATATTGAGAAATTTCATACACTGAGTCATTCAGAAGTGTCTGCCTAGGCAATAACATTTCGACACAGGAATTCACTTCTGATCTGAGTGCGCCAGCCAAAAGGTGGTGCTAGGGAAGCCATGGGGCAGGAATGTGGCAGGGATCACGAAGGACATAGGGGATCCTCTCAGAAGTACCCTGGGGGATGGTGGTGGCCTGTGTTGGGGTGGTAGGTCATCACCAGGGTATAACAACGGCTAGTCTAGCCCTGGGTCTCTGACAAAGATAGGCTGGAGAAGGGCATAAGGATTTATTCTTGAGAAACCCAGACAGGTCAAATCTCTAAAAGCAGAACCCTGGGGGACATCTGCAAAGTTTGCCGCTCCAAGTAGTTTGTAAGCAGGAAATGGAAGGGAATAAGTGCTATTTTCTGTCAGGCACTGGGCCTGTTTTGATCCTTACAACTGGATCTATGAGGCAGCCATTATTTCCCCCCGTCTGTAGAGATGAGGTCATAAGACTTTTCTCAGCACTGGCCATTTCATGAGGCAAAAATTCTCTTTTTTGCCCTTTCAAAATCATGCGATTGCAAGTTCTGGTGGTTGCACGACTTGCTCAAGGTCACTCAGATACCCGTTTTACAGTCAGGATACAAATCCTGGTTCTGTCCGTTTTGTGAAGAAAAAATAATGCTATTTTCACCTAACTCTCAAGGTGGGTTAACTGCAATTGCGGTGGCCGAGTGTCTTGCCCAGGGTTATGAAAATAGCATGTGGCGAAGCCAGGGTACGGTTTCAAGGGATTGGAATTGTGATATTTTCCAGGGCTCTCCCTCGCTTTCTCCTCACCGGGAGAATAACGAAGCAAACCCATCCAAGAACCAAGGCCTCACCTGCACTGTCGGCTTCCTGGGCTTCCAGGTGTTGCCGGGCGCCAGGCTGCCGTCCTCGGGGCCACCGTGCGGGGGATTATGACAGCAAGCTGAACACCGGACACACGGGTGGTGGTGGCATCGACAGTTGTAGCAGTTTGGCATCATGTTTCTCTTTCGCAGAGCAGGGCAGAGTTCCCCAGAACAATAAATGCAAGCGTCATGGACTACAGCTCCCTGGATGTTGCAGGAGTAAGAGCAGGTCCTGCGGTAATCAAAATCACCACAGCGCAGCGGCTTGCAGCACATGGATTGTTCTAGACCTTTGCTTGCAAAACATTCTGAGTAGGTGGGGGTTTCTGGCTGAAGGGGTGACAGAGAATGATAGGATTGGTCTGGGGCACGATATGGCTGGTCTGTGGAATGGTAGGGCTGGTCCATCGGATGGCGCCTCAACTCCCTATAGCTGGAGCTCATCGGCTGGAAGTTTGGGTCTAGAGGCTTTGGTCTCTGGGTAAAAGTCTTATTGCTATGAGTGGTTAAACCTGGCAAATGAGATGTAGATAAGGATTTGCTAGTCTCTTCAAAGAACTTTCTTCTGTCGGCAAAGGGCAAGAGGATAGCTTCCTCCCCAGCTTGGGCAGCAGAAGCCTTCAATTCCTTGCTGTCACCTGGGTTAGGAGGGCCTTCCACGGCTCGTGCCACATGTGGCTGCAGGGTGTGCTCTGGAGACCACCTCCAGTGACCTCCGCGGACTCCGCGGTGAACACTTGTCTTCGCAGAGTCTGAGGACGAGGGGTCCGATGCTTTCCACCAGGTGTTCAGGCTCACGGAGGGCGGGCCAGGCCTCCGGCCGGGGCTTATTTGTCCCTCCAAACCTGTCCTAGATTCATGGCTCTCTGGGGCTTGGCTGAGGCACTCTGAAGACCGAGCCCTGAGCATCATGCTCCTGTTGACGAGCTTGTCTCTGGGGCTGAGTGGTTTTGTACATGAGGACAGAAGCGATGAGCTGGAGGCAGGAGGTGGAGTACTTTCTAGGGGCTCCTCGGTCTCCTGACACAGCTGCGGCAAGGGATTCTTGCTTTTCTGGAGCTGGGCCTTCCTCCTCTGGATTTCATTACGCAGATTGGTAGCAAAACGCTCACTCTTCCGCCGGTTTTGGATTGAGCGGCCCCGGGGCCCTCCGTTCCGCCTACCGTCCCCCCGGCCACATTCCTTGGGTTCGTTGTCCCCTTCTTCAGTGGCCCCTGTGCTACCAGCTCCTTTAGTGGTGGAAGAACAACCCCTGGCTTGTGGGACAAGGGATCCAGAGGCAGAGGAGGGCTGCTGGCTGGCTAGTTCACTGCCTGCTCGGCACGCTCTGCTCGGGTCCTGGAAGCCTTTCTCTGGAGGGTGTCCGTCAGCCTCTGTGTGTGGGGAACTGCTTGCGCTCGGCTGCCCTGAACCCAAGGGCCTATCATCCACCTGCCTGGCCTTTCCGTCTTTGCTGGGCTGGTCCTGGGCTCCTCCTGTAGGGACACACGGACTTCCCTTCCCCGCGTGGTTGCCATGCAAAGGTGACAGAGTCCACTCACGGCCGGCCGGCCCGGCTGGGAGCTCCGTGCCCTTGCTGCCCCTGGTATCAAGGTGTACATGCTGTAAGTGGGACGCCAGCAGCTGTTCCGGGGCACTGTGGCGGTGCCCTGTGGGTCCTGTGACGTGTGGAGCGCTGCCAAAAGAAGAAGCCTTAGCTAGCTCGGCTGAAGCCTTGCTGAGGGGGCTGGAATCTATGCTGGAAGCTTTGTCATACACTTTTGGGAATCCGACCGCTTTGGCCGAGGCCTCCATCAGTAGATGCTCAGAGTCCTGCTGGCTGGGTTCAGGAGCTTGGCTGAGCTCACAGTTCTGATGGCCCTCGTTTGTCACTTGGTCTTGCCCGCTGAGGCAGCAGAACCTGTTAGGGTTCCTTGGGGATAGCACGGTGTCTAAGCTCACTTTCTCCTTCGGCTGCGACGCGTGCCCAGGCTCAGAAGCCCTGCGCTGCTCTCCGTTGAGGAGCGGGGCTCTGGAGGCCTGGAGACTATCTCGCCTCACTGGAGGCTGTGGCGGACCTCCGGCAGCCTTGGCAGGCCCCGAGGGGTGGGCCTCCTGCAGGCGGGATGACATCTGGGAGCTGGGAGTCAGGTGGCCCCCGTCGCTGCGCCGGCTACCTCCTGAGGTCTCGGTCACACTGGGCTGGCCATGAGGGGCTTTAGGTGGCCCCAGGCCTTGCGTGAGGCAGTCTGCGGAGCCCGGCTCCTCTGGCCTGAGGGAAAGGGCACAGTCAGAGGCGTTTGAGCTGGCTGAGAAGGAGCTATAGGCCGAGTCACGCTGGTTGGGGTACATGTTCTGATCGATGGGCAAGAGGTGGCCCTCATAGGTAGCTTGGCCTGGTTGCTCCAGGCTCTCCATGCTGCCAATGGAGCTGCTTTTCTCAGTGCTGCAGTGGCGGGAAAGTGAGCACCACTGCACACACACGTCACTGCAAGACACAGGGCACACTGGTTAGTCAGCCAAATGACCAGATCCCCTTCCCACCTCGGCCAGCCCTGCCACGGGAGAAGGCAGAACAACCCAGAGAAAGCAGAACACCCATGCCGCAAATAAGAAGGCGATAAGGCCACAAGGGAAGCAAGGGAAACAGCGAAAGATAGGGACACGGGGGCGCCACAGAGATGTGGTAAAATGGGACACAAGACAACGTATGGGAGCAGGAGAGGCCAAGATCCCAGAGACGAAAAGTGTAAGAACTCCACTGGGGCTTATGCTCTGTTTCCCGGCCGCCAGTGAGTCTAGAATGGCTTCTGGCCTGTCACCGTCCTTAGGGAGTCAGCATGTGGCTCTCGGCCAGGAGAGACAATCATAGAATATTAGTATCAGAGAGGGGCTCTAAAGGGTTGATTCAATTTCAGCCAGCCCATTTTGTAAATCAGTGGGCTGCTGAGTTTGAGTGTGCGTCAGGGAGCGCAGGGAGGGCTCGTCCAAACACACGTCCCTGGGTCCCATCCCCAGAGTGCTACAGCTGGGTGCACCCTGAGAATTTGTTCTTCTAACAAGTTCCCAGGTGATGCTGGAACTCTTTGCTGACCCAGGGACTACACTTTTGAGAACGGCTGGAGTAAAGCAAGCCCCGCAAAAGGAAGTGATTCCGAGGAGGTGATTTTTCTCAAGATCACCCAGCTGTAGCTTGTGACCCAGACACGGCCGGAATTTCAGCAACCCCCTGTTTTCTTCTTGATACTAGTAAGCCTGACCATTTACCGAGGGCCAACAGTGTGCCAGCACTTTATGATGTCTCATCTCAAACTGAAGGGGAGAGATTATCGCCACCTTACAGCCAAAAAACAGGCTTAGCGAGGTAAACTGACCGGCTCACACAGGTGCTAAAGAAGCAGAGCTAGAATTTGAACCCAAGCCTCTATGAGTCCAGTGTCTTAGCTCTTCTGCTATACTATTTGTTAAATGGGACTAATAAGGGACGTCTGGGTGGCTCAGTCGGTTAAGTGTCTGCCTTTGGCTCGGGCATGATCTCAGGGTCCTGAGATCGAGCCCCGCATCGGGCTCCCTGCTCAGTGGGGAGTCTGCTTCTCCCTCTCCCTCTGCTCTTGCTCTCCCTCTCTGTCTCTGTCTCTCGCTCTCAAATAAATAAAATCTTTTAAAAAATGGGACTAATAATAATATCTGTATCAGAGGGTTGCTTTGTGGGTGAAATCAGTTAATAAATGTAAAGCTCTTGTCACAGTCTGGGCACCTAGAAAAGTTCAACACACGTTAGCTGCTGCTCATTTGCTTTTTGTTTTAATTGCTATTTGTTAGGAGCACCCTCTGTACCACTAGTGTTGACATTAGGGTTGCTGCCCACCCTTCCCTCCCTCATCCCCCCACAGCCAAGCCAAACCAGGGAGACCAAGGAAGGGACCGTGGTCAGACACAATCTTGAATTTTAAGTACCATTTCCCACAAACAAAGCCAAAGTGAGCCAAGTCATGCCAGTAACTCCCAATGACTAGAACCCCAGAGGTCGCAGACTGTTCTCAGAAAGGCCACAGTTCAGAAAGCCAGAGATGAGCGGTGGCAGGGGCCCACAAGACCCTCAGATCAGCCTTCCTTAATCCTTGCTCCCTGCTCGCCCCTTAGCCACTCTGCTCACTTGACCTCTGGGCTAAGAATCCATCAGTCCCTTGTTGGCAAGGGATCCTGCCACCCACCCTGCCACCCTTCCTGCTGCAAACAACCACACCCCCACTCAAACAGGAGCCAAGCTCAGAATATGTTTCAGTGTATTCTTTCAGAACAAAACTGCCTCCGCCTCTGCTCAGAGCCCCTGTCTTATGAAGCCAAATAAAGTCATTGACTGGGGGCAAACTCAGCACGTGCCTTCCCTGAGCCTCATCAACAGAAATTCCTCCTGAGAGGGAAGATCTTGGTGTGGTAGGGAAAGGTCAGCTTTGCTCGCTCTGAATTTTCACAGAAAAAGTTCTCTGCCTCTTCTGGGCAGCTGTTTTGACAATAGGCAATACCAGGCCCCACTGAATTGAGAGATCCTCATGGCAAGTAGACCCTGTTATTCAGGGAGGTGCCCAGTCTGAAGGCTTTGGCTCTGTGACAGAGCTGATGAACTCTGGATGAGATCACCAGTGAGTCACTGTAGCTAGGGAAGAGGACCAGAACTGAGCCCCCATGCCCTCCCGCATTAAGAGACTGGGCGGGGCGGGGTGGGGGGGATGAGGAAGAACCAGGGGAAAAGAGGGCAAAGGAGCAGCCGCTGAAGTAGGATGAGAAGCAGGAGAGTGTGGCGTCTCGCAAGCCACGTGAGCTAAGTATTTCAAGGAAACATTTTCTAGAAGGGAAGGGACTGTCCCAAAGTCATAGAGAATTGGCAGTAAGTAGCTGAGGACTAGAACCCAGGGACCACGGATTCCCACTCCGTTTTCCATTACAGCTCTCTGGGCTCTGCAACATCTAACGGGGACTAGAGCAGAAGAGGGGACATGGCCAGGTTGTCTACCCTCCCGCCTACCTTGAGGGGGCGTGTTCTAGACTCACCTCGTGTTGCAGCCGGAATGCCAGGACAAGCTGAAGGCTTCAGAAGGGAAATGCATGGTGGTGGCCGCTTCAGGGCATCCCTCCAGCAGCTTGGCCACATGCCATGAGTGCGGCCTACTGACAGGGGCGTTTCTCCTACAGCAAGAAAGGAACAGGAAGTCAGCTTAGGGAACCAGGGCTGAAATCACTTCCCATGCAGCTTCCGCCCCCCCACCCGCGCTTTCCCTTAAATGAGGGAGAACATCTTGCAAGGAGCTGATATAGGAATCTTAGTGGCCCTCCTCAGCTCCCAGCCCTCAAATCTCCTTCATCCTGAGGGCGAGGTGTGGCTACACGGAACGTTGGCTCCGCAGGGCGGTTTTGCTCGTGGGTGTATCCCAAGCAGTGCCAGACACCATAGTAGATGCTCAGTAAGTATCTGTGGAAGAAATGAGTACTGCTGCCCAGTAAACAGTGAGCTACCCTAAGTTTTCTTTGAGGAAAAAAAAATCAATCTGGTCAGTCTTCCCACTTTTTCTCTACGAAAAGAAGAGGCAAGTGATTGGGAAGTTCAAACAAGTCAACACGAGGCTGCGAATCCTCCAGTTTTCACTTGTTCATTTGATAAGCATTTGTTGTATGTACCGTCTGGGCACAGCTCTGGGGATACAGACAGGAATCAAACACCATCTCTGCCCTTGAGAGCTTACAGATGAGTGAGAGCGAGAGAGCGAATTCAAATAAAGCCTGGTGAAGGCCCTGAGAGAGTGAAGGCTAAGATGGGTACAGAGGTGAGACGCCCGTGTTTGCAGGCAAAGAGGGGGGCAAAGAGCCCCAACTCCTGCCAGGGAACATAGCACAAAGTGGTGAAGGGCGCAGGGCGAGGCTGACAGAAGAGACTGGCTGCTCAGCACGGCAGGGGTACCTAAAGGGAAACAGGTTTGAGGCCAAGGCCCTGGATGCAACCACAGGGTCTGTCTGGTGCTGGAGGCCGCCGCCTTACTCTTGTGCTGACCGGCTTAGACAAGACCCATTCTTGTCCTCTGGTATATTCCCTGTGAAGAGACGCTGCCCTTGCAAGTGGGGAAGAATGACATGGGGAAGAGCAGAGCACACATGGGACATGGGTTGTGCCAGAAGATTAGGAGAAGACTGATGAGGTGGGGGAGGGAGGGACAGAAAGCAAGTAAGCAAGAAAAAGACAGATGTCAGAAGGACCAGGTGGATGATAGAGATAAGAGTGAGAGAGGATCGGGGCGCCTGGGTGGCTCAGTCGGTTAAGCGTCTGCCTTTGGCTCAGGTCATGATTCCAGGGTCCTGGGATGGAGACCCACGTCAGCTCCCTGCTCAGCAATGAGTCTGTTTCTCCCTCTCCCTCTGCCCCTCTGCCTGCTTGTGCTCTCTCTCTCTCAAATAAATAAATAAAAATCTTAAAAAAAAAAAAGAGTGAGAGAGGATACCAAGAAAAACAAATGACAGAAAGGGAGAAAACTGAGAGACGTTATAGAGAAATACATAGTAAAGGGGAATGGGTGGTAGAGAGAGAGATGAATGACAGAGTAAGAGAAAAGGATGATAAATAAGGAGATGTGAGAGAGAAAGAGGATAGCTTCTTTACTAATTTATGCAGTCATTTACTGTGACAAGCTCCATACTAGACACTGAGGGTACAGAGTTGACTAGGATAAGGGGCCCTGTTTTGAACAAGCTTGTTATCTAGTGTGTTAAATCAGCTCCCTACCTCCCAGGAGCAGTATGAATAGACTTGAGCTGGATTCCATCCTAGCTGGGAATGCCCCTCACCCCAGCGGAAACACAGAAAATCCCAGAAGTACACGGCTCTAGAGGCCCAAGGCCTAAAAAGATAGTCCTGAGAAGAATGGCCCTGCTGGGGAAAACATGGGTTGAGTGGTAACAGGCCAGACACGGACAAGGAGGTGTGAGAGGAAGGGCAAGGGAAGCTGCTTGTCAAAGTTCAGGAACCAGAGCCACAGGTCAGCAGCCCTGGCTAGGATTTATGGGGAGGAAAGCCAAGTGAGGCCCCCACTTTTAACTATAGTGCTCTATTATGGGTTTCAGAGTGCCCAGCAGGGAGGCTTGAAGCACAAGAAGACCTTGGCGGGGGAGGAGGTGGGGGCTCTCTTCCAGAGTCTCATGCACAAAGCCATGATGCTAGAAATCCTTCCAGCTACTCTTAGGTGGTAGTCACCATTAACAACTATGTATAAAGCAGCTCACGGAAGTACTATGTACTGCTACATACTATGAACCATGTGTGTCTACTGTGTACTATGCTTCTAGGCACTGAGGGAGAATACAGTGGAGAACAGGGTACCTCTCTTATTTGGGGCCCTTCTTCCATATCCAGGATTTCCGAAGTTTTTCTGAGTCCAGGGTTTAACATGTGGGTGGTCAGCCTTGACACCACTTTCTCCCCAACCCTCCAGTCCCTCACTGAGTTCTACTGAGTCTTCTTTTATATCTTTCTGGCTTCTCTCTCTCTCTCTCCTCATTTTCATTGAGACTATTGCACATAATCACACTTCTCCTCCACAGAACCTGCCACCAACCCCTTCTATTCTAGTCCAGGCCCTTAACACTTTATATCCGAAATACTGTGTCAGTCTGCCAGCCAGCCTCCCCTTATTCCACCTCTAGTCATTGCTTTTATTTATTTATTTTTTAAGATTTTATTGATTTATTTGAGAGGGGGAGAGAGAGAGAACATGAGTCGGGGGCGGGGGGACAGAGGGAAGGGGGAGGCAGGCTTCCCGCTGAGCAGGGAGCCCGACACGGGGCTGGATCCCGGGACCCTGGGATCATGACCTGAGCTGCAGGCAGACGCTTAACGACTGAACCACCCAGGCACCCTCCAGTCATTGCTTTTAGATCATATCGTGTCAAACACCCATTGAATCGTAGCACTGGCCTATTCAAGAATCTTGGCTGGCTCCCTATTTCTTTCTTTTTTTTTTTTTTT